TTTTTTTTGTTAACATAAATAATTTTGAGAAAAAAATAGTATAGTTAGTTGTTAGTAGAATTTTGAGTTTATATTAAAATAATATTTAATATTAACTATATAAAATTGATTTAATGTAAAAGTAAGAGAGATGATATGGAGTGATAGTTAAAATTGTGTGAGGGGATGAATAATAGTATTTAAAGTTGAAGTATTGTGTAAGAATTATTGGTTGATATTATTTAATTATATTGATAATATTGAAGATAATGAGGTTGGGTTAGAGTTGAGTTGGATTTTGAGTATGAATTGAATACATTTATATACAAACATACTCTTAATCTGGAATAACAATTTGTTTAGACAACACCTGCGCCCACCACTTAATAAAGGTGAAAAGTTTTTTTGTGGCACGCCTTCTCACTTGCGCCATTTATGTACACTTATTATATAAAATTAATTGCGTTCATTGTTATAAATTTCATTAGACCTTAATCCCATCCCCAAACCAGAAAAATTGCCGTTTATTTTCCTCTCCGACTCCCCCAATTTTGCCACAGTGTGCAAGGCATCGAATTCCCCTCGACCCTCAATTCGTAATTTTAGGTTCAAGAGTTTGTTCCTTTTGGTTTGGAGGTTTGTTGAATCTCTTGAAAGAACAATCATAGTTTTGTTGTTGGGTTCTTATTAAAGTATCATTTCAGTGTGTGAAAGTTCAATTTGTAACAAACTAATGGAAGAATGAGAATGTTTTCTTGTTCAAGAACTCCTAGCCTGAACTTTTTTAAATGCTAGTAGTTATTTTGTTCACATCAAAATTCACGGTTGTTGTGTCTGTTTGTTATGTTCGTTTAATGATTGTCTGAAAGATATTACACGGTAGCATAGCTCGGAAAGAGAAATACAGTTTACATTTTAATATCTACATGAAATCTTTTGTGAGAGCTAGGCTATGAACAACTTCTTGAGTACGAATAGAAAGGAAACTATGTTTACAGGCCATTCATAGCCATATTACAACTCTATAAAGGCGACTCTACAAATACGTGAAATATGTATAGTATCACCAACCCCATTCCACTACGTCAATTGTTAATTTTATTATAGTGATCAATATTATTTCCAGGTAAGTGAAAATGGTAAATAACTTGGGTCCCTTTTTAAAGATTATTATGGACCCAATAAGCTCGACACTGGTAAAAATATTATTAAACGTATATTACGTATTGTTAATCTTATTTGTTGTTATCTTTGTGAAGCTAAAGTCTACCTAATTCTTGCTTAGATATTGTGCATATTATGTAACAACATGCGTTGCCGCCGGCAATCCACAATTAGTATAGAAACCATGTCCCACTACTATGTACTTTAGTCACCAGAGAGACTGGGGAAGCTATTAGGTTTGGATGCTAACACTGCGTAATGAGTTGCATTTGGTTGATAGGTGGGAATTGTTCGAAGGATTGGAGGATATTTGCAGGGAATACTATTTGTTTTTCGAATGCAACAGTCTCCATGAACTTCAAGTCAAAGTGTTTATACATATTACAGTTGGACGACGCACTATTAGTTTTATTTGGATATCAAGATAAACCACGTGCAACGCGCACGATTGGTACATTTCAAATTTCATTATCGAACAATAACAAATAACTTATTACAATGCTTCATGTTTTGAAATTGTATTGTTCTTGTAGGCGATTCCTATGAGAGCAAATATCGGAAATCAAACAAATGATACTACAAGGGCAATTTTAATGTGTGAAGGAGGTAGATACAATGCTTAAATTGTTAACTATATTATAGGCCCAACCCATATATACTTAAGGTCCTACATCAATATCTGTGGGCATCTTTAGATGTGAATTATTCATTCATCCAAAGCCCTAAAATTCGAGATAGACTTTTCGACCGAGTTTTACCGCCAGAAGCCACGCGTGTAAGCCATACGTGCTGCCAGAATCTTCTGCTGGACATCCCACGCGCCGGAATGTCAAGGCGCGTGGCCCATCTGGATAGACTTTTTTTGGCCAAGTTTTGCCGCCAGAAGCCGCGGTATGAGCCACACATGCCGTCGGAATCTTCTCTTGGCCATCCCACGCGCCAGCGCGTGAAGACGCGTGGATCGTCAGACCCGTCACTTGTTGGAGTTAGAGTTTGTGTACTCTAATCTGTCCCGACCATCGTTAATTTTTACTTTTTGTTGTCACTTGTTGTCGTGCGCCCACCCGTCGCATCACCTGCATTGGCGTTCGTTCTCAAATCATGTCGCAACTTCATGCAATTGTTATCAATATTACTCTTGATGGTTAGAATTATCAGGAGTGGGCGCTGAGCGGTTGAAACCGTGTTGTTTGGCTTTCCACTTGACTGATGATGGACCCGAAAGTAAGGCAAATAATAGCAATGTTGCTGGCAGCAGAATAATGTTGATTAATGATGAGAAAGGGATTACTGCCATCGTTAACAATGTCAAACAATCCGTGATTATGAGCCTTTATTCTTTCGGACCCTAAAGAAGTGTTGTCTTATTTGCAACTATTTTACATTCAGGATAGTGGTGCACTATTGCACAATCTTATGCAACAAATTCACGTGATTTGAACAGAATAGCATGTTCGTCGATGAGTACTACTCAACTTTTAATCGTTTGATGGGACCAGTTATCTTCATGGTACATCAGTGCTCGACTAAGGAGTATTCAACACATTAATTTGCTGAGAAGTTATTTATTTATCGTGTTGTCATGGAAATCAGAGCAGAATTTGAGTCCATCCGTACATAGTTGCTTCATAACTCCTCTACTGACAGTGGCACAAACATTATCTGATTTGATTGCTGAAGTGACTCGTCTCCATTCTCTTCCAGTTGCTCCGTCGTCAGTATCACAAAATATTCTGCCAGCTCCTCAAAGGACATTTTCTCAACAATTTAGTGAACCTAGAGGTGGCTCTTTAAAACCTTGTAAGCATTATTGGAAGACCGGTCATAGTGTTGGGAATTAGTTTGCTAAGCATCCAAAAAAGTTGGTTATCTTGCACCACGTTATGCTCGAGCTTGTAGTACTATTAGCATGTATACTGAGCGCTCGACTTTTGTTTGATCCAATTATTGTTTGAGTAAGAATCGCGTTTAATTAAAAAGACTATGTTATGATATTTTGCATTTGGATATTGTGGTTCATCACGAATGGACAGAAGACCACATATTGATTACTTGTATAAAATAAATAATCAGGTTCACAACCTAAATGGAGATGAATGACCCATCGTGAATGATTGTAGTGTCAATTGTACAGTCTGTCTTGACTTATTGGTTGCATAACTACACTACAAGTATTGAACGAACCCAGAGAGGATAAGTTTGTTTTATACTGATCGAGGAAACAAACCAGACCTAGGTTAATTACTGCGTACTCTTAACCCGTAAGATATAAACATGCACGGGCATACAGTAGCAGCTACTTTGATTTACCAAAAAGTGAGATCCATTCAACTAGGTCAATAGTCTGACGTGTTTTGGGTCGTAGTGTTGGGTATGGTGTATTGTTCGAATATTTACAGCCATCGTGTGTGATAGTTTGATGATGTCTCCGAGATGAGCTCAAGAAGGATTATTATGTTAAACCCGGCCAGTGGAATTTATTCCGACATAATAATAAAGATTTGAGTGGTACTAATTTTGGTTCAAGAAGTCAATTAATTATATTGTCAGTAATTAAATTAAATTATGAACATTATATCTTAATCACAAAGAGATAAATTGGATAATTATTATTGAAGTCTCAGATGTAATTTAGGCGCTAAATGGTGCAATAATATTTTTGTAGTGGACTGAAATATTGAAGTTTGAGCAGAATGGGCTTGACCCACTGTTAGGCCCAAACTTGAGAAGTCCATATTTACCACCTCCTTAGGGTCCATGTTATAGCCTATAAATACATCATATCTCTTGAGTTTAGATGACGAGTGCTACACGAGCCTCAGAGATAAATCGTCCCCTCTCTCTTAAGAAATCTCAATCGAGATATCTTCGAGATCGTTGCCCAGCAAGACAAACAGAGAAGGTGTCGGGTTATACAACAAAAGATCCTAGGCGCGACCGTCATTGCGTCGGGCGCGACCCTCGTCGCGTCGGGCATGACTCTCGTCGCGTCGTGACGATAGCGCTCCAACAGCCCGTGATGGTGTCTGCGCTATGAAGCTCGCTGAAGGGACCAATCATAGTGTGACCATCGTCACTGGCCCGCGAAAGTTTCATTTGGCTGCAATAGGGGTCTCTCGGCTAGGTGTAAGGGTTGAATCTACATGCTTGATTCCAAAGTGTTAAGGACTTGTTTGTTTACGATCACTAGAAAAACATACGAAACAACGGGAAAATGCAAAACACAAGAAGAAGTGAAAAGACACGACTAAGTGGACCGAAACTACTATAAAACATACCTAGATATGTGCCAACAAACCCAAGAAAATAATAATAGAAATGGGACAAACAAGTTTCATTTTCAAGTTGTTTTGCAAGAAATTTATAATTAGTATAATACAAGTTT